ACTTCGCCTTGGTCAACAACCTGAGCCAACTAGTTGACCTCCCCACACGTGTCCCTGATCAAGCCGGAGATCGTGCTCACACCCTGGATCTAATTCTCACTTCGGTCCCTTCTTTCTTCTCAAATACTCGTACCCTCCCTCCTCTTAGCTCATCAGATCACTGTATTGTTTCTTGTTCTGTCAGGTTTCCAAACTCAGAACCATCACCCACCTCGAGGCACACATTCTGGCGCTACAGCTCAGCTAACTGGGACGGTTTCCATAATTTCCTAGCTGTTTATCCCTGAAACGATTGCTGTTTCTCTTCGGGTGTTTCCAAATCCGCTTCCAACTTCACCCACATTGTTCTTCAAGGTATACATCTTTTTATTCCGCAATTTTTCAAACGCGGCAAACCCAAATCCCCTGGCTAGTTTACTCTGTAACTCCTCTGGTGATCTTGTATGTCAACCAAACGAGAGAGCTTAATTTTGTTCCCCTGTTTGCCGCCAATTCCGCCTTTCCCCATTTTTCTACACCTCCACCTTCCTCCATCACTGGCAACCTTTCTATACCTCACATTAGCACTAGAAAAATCCATCAAACATTACGCTCTCTAAACGCAAACAAACCACCCGATCCGGACGGTATCCCACCCATTGTCCTCAAAATCTGTGCTCCCGAGCTGGCTCCTGTTTTAAATCGTCTTTTCAGTCTTTCCCTCCAACTCTCTTCGTTTCCAGCCCCCTGGAAACGCTGTAATTTTTCACCTTCCCAAACACGTGACCTTTCTAAACCCAACAATTACGGACCCATTTTCCTCACATCTGTTCTCTCAAAAGTATTTGAAACTATCTTCGCTGACCAGCTACGCATATTTCTTGAACGCGAAGGACTACTGAGCGACCTCCAGTATGGCTTTCGACCGCGTCGTTCCACCGGTGACCTGCTGGCTCTTGTCTCACCATCCTGGTCAGCTCCACTCGATAACCACGGAGAAACACACTTGGTTTCGCTTAACATCTCAAAGGCCTTCGACCGAGTTTGGCACGAAGGTTTACTGACGGAACTACCCATGTTCGGGTTCCCTCCAGCGCTCGTAGCCTGGATATCAAGTTTCTTCAGTAAGCGAACCATCTCCGTCCGATTTGATGCGGTTCTATCTCAGGCATTCCCTGTGAATGCTGATGTACCCCAAGGTTCGGTACTTGCGCCCACCCTCTTCCTTCCATTCAGCAAAGATCTCCTTTCTCAAACTGTCAACCCGATCCATTATTTTTCTGGTGACGCCACCCCCACTGCACCCTCTCCTACCGCACTGCTCGCCATGCCCCAAAGCAACATCGATGGTGACCATAGTGCAGTTGATGTGCCACTGGACTCTGATCTCCTTTTGGGGCATTATAAACCGCGTTTCATTCCATAGTTCTAAAACCTCTCTTCTTTCAATTACTTCAAACCACTATTCATTCCCCCCCCCATTTATCTTTTAATTCTACCTAACTGCGTTTTACAGACTATGTTTCCCTTCTTCTTTATGCTGGTCCCGTTTTATAGCTCAGCTTGCTTCTCGTGCTGCGCGCAAGGT